CTATACTCCTTCACCAACTCCGGATTTCTACCATGCAGGTCTCCTGCTCATAGATCCTATCAATATTTATTCATATAACATTATATCTTATCAAATGCCTCATCACACTTTCAATATCTGGATGATATTAGTGCAACATGATTTATAGGTTTACAACCTCAGAAACAAACAGGGTTTACCATAAGTTGGGTACAAAGATTCAGGTAATTATTCAAATTTGTCAACAGTGGGATTTGAACCCCAGATCTCTTGTATGCCAGTCTGGCAACCTAACTACTATACTAAGATTACCAGACCTAGATAATAGTATTATTATGAAGATTAGCAAATAGATTTTAATAAAATCAAAAAGTTCAGCAGAAACTATAGATATTTCATTAATGATTATAGTGTCAATTTTTTTGTAACCATGTTTTTAGTTCACTATCTGTTAGAGTACGTGAACGAAAATTTTCTTGCAAGGATATAATATATAATTCAGAATAAATAGTTTTGTCTCCTATGCTCTGTACTGCTATTCCTATAGATACTAATAATAAAAAGTTTGAATGTTTTTGTGTAAGCATGTTTATTATGAAGTGAATAATATAAGATTTTCTAGTTCTAGCAGATCCAGTTATAAAAAAATAAGTATATTTGGTTTCATTATTAGGACCTATGTATATTGATATAGTTGATAGTATATAGTATTAGTCTTGAGATAGTTCAAATATTGTGATTGGTAGTGGGTAGTGTAGAAGAATTTTTAGATTTTCAATTTAGTATTATATTATGTGTTTAAGGTTAGTAGGAAGTTATTCATTTAATGATTATAATAATCTATTTAATATTTCAATAAAGTGATTGTTTAGAGAAGTTATTAGTGAATGTTATATAGGTACTGTTTGATTTTGTAAATTTATTAGAAATTTAGGAAAGAGAAATAAAAATTTTCTTTGTATGTACTATCCAGTGTAGTTTTGTAGTCAGATTCACTTCTTGTAGGAACATTAAGCAAGAGTTGTTAATAAAAATACAACTCTCTATCTTCAACTTTTAAAGAGCAGTATCTAGTAAGTATTTCTTTATTATGTTTAGTAATATAGTTAGACAGGTTGTCATGATAGATTGGATAAGAGGTTGAACTAGGTAATGAGAGGATAATCGAGTATTTTTCAAAGTAGTTAGGATATGTAATATTATCAAATTTAGGAAAGTTAGACTGAGACATATATTTTACTATAGTATCATCATAATAAAGATATTCATCATTTTCTTCTATTATATAGATCAGAAGTATTGTGCAAAGTCTTGTAGAAGGAGGTTCAGTAGTCAGAAATTTTACTATTATTGATGAATTACAAATTTGATAGCCTAGAAGTAAGAATATAAGTTCTATTAATCTGAGTCTTCATACAATTACATATTCTCTTAATTTGTCTTTTTCATAAATATTAAAAATATATAAAGGTTCAGTTTTTGCAATATATTTAACTATATATTTTGTAAACCCTCTGTTAGTTATATATTATATATTTATATATGTATCCTAAAGTAGGCAGGTTGAAGCATGATAAAGAACTATCCAAGAATTAGCTTCTGTTAAGTATTTGTAGATGTAATGTAAGTTTCCTTCTTGGAGATACGTTATATTAAAAAAGAACATGAAAATCCCTTTTTACAGGTCTGTTCTGAGAGTGCTAGACCTTGACATCTTAAATCATAGGTATATATTTAATTAGCACAACTACAGTATATAATTCTGGTTCATATAGTGGATCTGGTATTGTAGAATAAATAATATTATTTGAGTTCATAGTTTAATATTATTTGTTGTCTAATAATAGCTATGTGTATATACAGCACCTCTATTTTGAAACTCAATTCTTTCAAAAAAGTTAGTTATATCACCAAATTTCATAAAATCAGATTTCTTTTAAAGTTCTTTTTTTAAGGATTGAAACCTATAAAGAAAGTAAATATGGGATCTTTGCTAGGAAAATTACCCTTCAGGATTTTTCAAACAGGTTAATTCGGAAAGACTTAGACCAGAATATCAGTTCTTATTTATATGTAAGTTGTCTTTTACCTTTATCGATGCAATAGTTTATTTAACAAACTATTATATCAACAAGATAAAAGATGATTTTTATATATATAAGAACTAGTATTCTGGTTTAAGTCTTTCTGAATTGGCCTATTCAGAAAATTCCAAAGAGTAATTTTTCTAGCAAAGATTCCATATGATGATTTATATTTTGAATGTTAAAAAAAGAGGAAGAAGAAGGAAAAAAAAAAAATAAGGAACCTGTGTACAAAGTAGTTCGTACAATAAAAAGATCTATTTGTAGGTAAAGTATCACCATTGTCAGTATTTCTGAGTATATTATGAAGATAAATCTATTGACTTTCAGCCATACTTAGAGTTATAAAAAGAGTTGGTAAGCCAAATTTTTGTAACATAGAATTTAAGTAAAGTTGTCTCTGGTAAAAGTAGGTATTATCTGTGCGTATAAAAGAAGGGATAAGAATTGTTATATTTTCATTAATTATGTTTTGTGAAGTATAGAAGCTAGGACGTAATAGATTTCTTCCAGATAGAAAGTAGTTATTATTATTAGAATTTGAATTTGCTTGATATAGTATGCATTGAGTATTTTGGTAGTGTCTTAGTTTTTCTAATTAAAGATATGACTATGAAGGCCAATAATAATGTAGTCTCTATCTTTAGTCTATATTCATTAAGCATAATTTAATATATTTGCTATATGTCTCAACTTGTGCTTCATTTGTTGATAAAGATAAATTTAAGATATCATGAAAGTAGCCTTTTCAATCAGTAAAGAGGTCAGAAAATAATAAAAGTTCCAAGTTGAGATCATATGTAGAAATTGGTAAACATAAGTTATTATTTTCTTGAACAAAACCTGCTATTAGTCTAGTATAATAGAAATCTTTATTATAAACTTCATCAGAGAAATCATAGTTCAGTACTACTATATTATATTCATTTACTAGAGATAGATTAGTAGTAGAATGTATATGTATTGCACTTGGAAAAGGGTTCTGAGATCTTATATTTGTAGATAAATAATTAGTAAAAGGATAAAGATAAGGATTGTTATAAGCTAACCAAGTAGCTTCATGTTGTAAATTCAGATTAGTAATTAGGTTTTGGTTTAAATTATTATTATTATAGTTATCTGGTTCTAAAAAAGTATACAGAATTCTAGAATATAATGCATAAGCTCTAATATTTCATGAGTAATTCATTGTACTAATTAAACTTCTGTATTCTGAATAGAGGTTACTGTTTGGAGTCCTTCTTAAGAAGCAGTATAAGTAAATGGGAAATAAGTATATTCTAAGATATAACAGAACAGAAATAATTTCATTTGGTATAGATGAAAGATGAAGAAATAAAAATCTTATAGAGGGATTTTTGTATGATTCACAAGTAGGTATTCTAAAATAAGGAATATGATTGGTATTAGAGTTAAATGATAAAGAAATATCAGATATATTTTTTTGTAAAGGATAAGTAAATGTTGGATCATAAAATGTTCAGAGAGCTTTTTCTGGATATAACAATTTTTCACAGTAAACACATGCAATTCTTTGCTATTATTTTAGAATATTGTTTTGAAATTTTATATATAGTCTTTGGAGTTTTGTTAATGGTCTCCAGTATATAATATTTTGAAAAGTTTGTAAGTTGTTATGATATAACGTAGAGTTGATATAATTCATAGAATGACTTGTGTAATTAGGTAAATTTTTATGATTATTTTCAAATATATAAATGCTATGAAGATAATATGTCATGATAAATTTTTTAATAAAAAGGCTTAGTTTAAAGTGAGTACATGTAAAGTTGGATCGATTAAAGAATTGGCAGTTTATATAAATTTTTTTTTATTATATATTGTTAAATCATTTTAATATATAATTTTATATTTTAGTTCTATCTTAAGAATATTTGAGTTTTGTTTTATTTTTATTTTAAGGGTAGATAAATTTTTAAGTAAAAATATGTTAAAAAATTTAATCAAATTTTTTAACTTGATTAGTTAATAAAAGTTTCGAATACTATATATTAAAGTAAAGTATAATATGTTGATACTTCTCTATATTAATATGATATTTATATCATACTTGATTTTTTTTGTATATAATAATGTATATAGAATATCGTTACTCATAATTATTAAATTATTAAATGAAGATTATAAAAGTATGCAAATATTAGTTTATAGGTTTAATTTATTTATTTTTTTTTATTTGTATTTTTCATAAAATTCTTTTTAAAAAATAAAAAGAAAAGGCAATCACAATATTTCTTATTATTTTTGTTTAAAGAGTTAAAATAATATATAAATAGATATTTATTATCATAATACAAAAATGAGAAAAAAATATATAAAATAATAATTTTATAATTCAGTGAAATCATTTACACTATTCTGATCAACTTGACTATTATTGATTTTCTGATTTGTTTGTTCAGTAGTAATCGGAATAGGATTTGCTTCCAAGGCAGCTTGAAGGTTTTGGCTTCTTCTAGTAGTTGTTGTACCTATTCTTAATAAGGTTGCATATCCTTTTTGTGGATTTTTTGAGTAGTTGGACGAACAGAACAATTATTTTTACGAGTATGAGAAGATGAATTTTTTTGAAATAACTACAGAACATTAACTGATTGTGTACTTGTGATTGTATTACTATTATTATTATTTGTTGTGATCATTGTTAAGTCTTCTAATGTTAAGATATGTTTTCTAAATATCTTTTCATTATTTACATTAGTATTAATATTGGGTTCTTAGTAATTAATTACATCAACCAAAAGTGCATTAGTGCAATGGCCAGTTTGATTAATAGCATTTGTTTTATTCAATAAGTATATATAATTCACTTTGTGTCTGACTTCAAACCAGAAGTTAAAAGGTTCTCTTTTACCAATTTTTTCTTCAACATAGAATTCTAGTATTATGTTTCCTTCTATATTTTTTACTATTTGTGTAGTAAAACCTGTGACTACAATGTTCATTCTAGTTGCAGGCATACTATCAAAATCCAAAGTTGTAACTTTAATAGAAGTAGCACTAACCTTTAATGTGTAATTAAAATAGTGTAAGTATGTAATTTATTCATTTGATTATTAAAAATAGCAAATTAAATGATTATTTTTAAAATAATATACAATATAATAGTTTTTGTAGGTAATAAATTTTCTTTTAAGAAAAACAACATCACCAATTTCAAACTGTCTAATGTAATGAATAGCCATTTCATTGATAGAAATAAAAATTTTTGTCTTAAGAAAGGCAACTTTTGTAGAATTATTATTATCTGTTTTAACAATCACAGTTATCTCTTTTACAATAAATTCTTAAGTTACTCGATCAGAACAATTATGAACATAGCAAAGAGTTGAAACCTTTGCAGGTATTTTTTTAATATTTTCAATTATTATAGTTACTAGAAGAATTTTTTTTCTTTACTTTATTAATAATGTTGATATGATTTTAGCTTTATTTCGAGTATAGAATTAGTTAAACTTTTATATTAAAAATTTGTTTGAATTTAAATAAAAAAAATTTAGTAAAATATTTTTTTATTGATTTAATTTTGAATTTTAAAAGTGATAAAGTATAATTCATATATATTATTGTATAAAAGATATAAATAATATTTTATTAAAATTAACAGACAAAAATTAAGTATTCTAGCACAAGAATTAAACAATTGCAAGACTGACATAAAAAATAATAATTAGTAATTTTAAAGGCTTTCAATCATTGATATTATTTTTTTTTATTAGAATTCGTGTTTTAAATTATTTTTCTAGTATTTGTTGTATAGGCTATACTAGTAATGTTCTATGAATAATACCATATATATTATACACGAAAAGTTTCCTTATCTTTTTTACAAGTTAATCATATTAAACATGTACTATATATACTGAATATATTGTAAATACTGTAGATAAAAAAATCTACATAAATGGCTAGAGATGGATAAAATACACATTTTGCAATTACCACGTAATTATAATGTAAATGATCATATACATTATTAATAAGTAAAGCACATAAGTAAATCTACATAGTAACTGATAATGATCAGCAAAATGCGTATTTTGGCTATCTCTACAAGCCTTACATCATCAGGCTGTATAATACAAAAAGGCTGACATTAAGTTAATAATTAATTAAAAAAAAATAAGTTTAAAATGATTTTTCTCTAAAGCTTAGATAAATTTATCAGATAAACTATTTTATAGCAAAAACTTTCATTGCTTGTTATAAATGATGATTTAATCGTACCCATCTCAAGTAATAATCTACTCTAATAATTATCATGGCTTATTACTTTATTAAAGATCTTAATAAAATAGAAAAATCGAAATATCAAATCTACGGGTTATAAAAAATCACAGGAATGCTAACAAAAATATATATATAGACATACTCTTCTAGCTTCTTAACTTGTTGTCCCCTATACACTTTTCAATAGCCTCTATTGCTGCTTTGCTATCAGTGAATTTGTGTATTTGGGCCTCACAAGGTACTGTAAGCAAAGCTGCCTATATGGCTCCTAATTCTGCATGAGTTGATGAGAGCCAGTTTTTTATGCCATAACTAAAACTAATCCTATTATCTGTCTCCTCTCTATTTCTAACTACTCAATTAGCTCCCATTCTACCAGATTCTAGCTCTCTACTACTTCCTGCTAGTGCCCTGTCAGTGTAATATCTAATAATTTCCTCTTCTTTTAGCTTCTCATATGCATTTACTAGCTCTTCTTTGATCCTTTTATTCTCTACTACTCTTTGTATAATTGTACTTTCGAGACTACTTGCTATAATCTTTACTGATACCTCTTGGTTTAACTTATAATTTGTACAAAGTTCCTTCTTTTTGATAAATGCTGATAGTGGTGCTCTCATTATTACTTCTTTTTCATTTATTTTTTTCACTTTAACTACTTGAGGACCTTCATAATATCTGATACTGACTAGGCACTCATTATTACCTATGCTTCCTATATTGCAACAGCTGCACTTTTTGAGTAAGCAATCCTCTGCTAATTGGCTTGATTGTCTCCAGTACTTAACTATTACAAGTTTCTCTGTTTTCTTTACTATTTTTCCTATATAAAAACCTTCTCTTCTTTCGAAGAGCACCCATTCTCTTTTCTGTTTATCTTTGGAGATGACTTGTAGTTGAGTTTTTATCACTTCTCTATTAGGGCTCCTTACTTTATATATATCTTATACTTCTCTAGAGCTGATATCTTTTAATATTCTTTCTTCGAATTTTTTAAACCAGCTCAGAGTATGGCCTTTTGATTTCCCACCTCTTATATGTTTTAGTTGATCCCAGGTTAGCATATGATTTTCTGTGTTATTTATAAGCTGTTCTAGTATGAAGAGGTTTATCTTGTCTAGGTTCAGGAAGGAATAGAACTCTTTTATATCTAATAAGCTTAATATTTCTGTTCCTTTGATGTTGAGAGCATTAGAGTCTTCTAGAATCTCGTTGATTTTTATATTTAGTTTAGCTACTTCATGCAATACTTTTATAGTCAAATTGTATCTGAAAACTAGCTTATTAAATTTACAGTCATTGCTCAGAGGACTGTATAAATATTTGCTTTGTAGTTGCCCTTCTTTGACTCTTAGTTTTGTTGTTACTCCTAAGGAGCCTTGCTAGTTGAGCTATAAAGTGAGCTCTGTAAAGTGATATGCAAGCTGGTTTTGCCAAATTGATCTCATGCCTAGGAAACCTATATGACTATAGATTGTGTTTGCTATTGATTTAGCTAACTCTAATTTGTTTTTAATTAGAGTTCAAATTGGTTTTTATATATTTTCACATTTTGATTTGCTTATAAATATTGTTTGTAGTCTATATTCTATGCTAGGTAGCAGAATGCTGTTGTTTAAGTATATGAGCTGGCTTGCTGATACTTTTTTCTACCTTATTGCTTTACATATCCTACTTACTTCATTCCTTATAATGCTTAGACTGTAATGCTGTTTTCCTTTTCCTGAGATCTAAACTCCTAAGTATCTTACTATATCTTTATCTTTTTTTGCAAGGACTTCATCCTGGTTTTTTCCTACTTTAATTGCTAGTATCTCTTTTTCTTTTTCTTTTTTCTTGGCATTCACAACTACTAGCTCTGACTTTTTACTGTTTATTTCAATATTATTTATCTCATAGAACTCATTTAAGATATTTACTATTCTCTGCAGCTTATCTTTGAATCTTGCTATTCAAGTTGTGTCATCTGTATAGGCAAGCATAGCTTGTTGGTATACTAGCCTTTTGGTTTTGTTATGAGCTATATTTGTTGACTAGTTTGTTGTTATCTGATATCCTATATCTTTTGCACTATTTACTGTGCAAAGAAGTAGGTCATAAAAGATATGCCAGACTAAGGGTGAGATTACTTCTCCTTGGTCAAGTTCGTCTTCCGCTTCAAATTTATTTGTTAGTTCAAAGCTTATAATCACTTTGATTTTTCTTTTCTCGTACAAGCTTAATATGAAGCTAATTATATTCTCTAGAAGCTTGATTCTTTTAAGGCTTTCTCTAGTATTTCTAAGCCTACAGAGTCAAATGCTTTTCGCATATCTTAGAATAGAATCTATAACTCATTGTTTTTTTGTCTTGTATCCTCAAACAAATTGTTCATTATATGAATTAGGCTCATTGTACTATCATCTAAGAGTCCTGCAAAATTAGAACCTTCCAAGATATTGAAGTCTACTAGAATTTTGTCTAGTCTATGTGTTATGACTCTTACTACTATTTTGTGAAAAGTTTCAATTAGGATAATTGAGCAAGTATTAGACAGGTTATAATTTCAATTCTCTCTTTTAGATATTGGATAAAGTTGGCTAAGCTTCCATTTAGTCAGGATTTCTTCTTCTTTTATATAAAAATTAGCAAGGTGTCTGAATATTTTTTGTGCTGTTGTACCTGTCTTTTTTATCAGCAGATAGCTTATACCAGATGGACTGGGTGCAAACTTAGGCTTTATCTTTTTAAGTGCCTTTAACCATTCTTCTTTAGAGATCTTATCTTCTAAACTATCATATATTATATTGTCTACTTTTTCAAATGGATTGTATACTTTTTTCTACCTAATTAGTATGTCTGAAGCACAAGTGTTTCTTTTACAAAATTGCTTTTTGAAATAGTTTTTCACTTCCTTTAGTACTTCTTTTTTTTGGTTTACTAGTACAATATTTAAGTTGTCTTTCTTAACGATTCTGTTTATGACTACTCATTTAAAAGATCTTTTAAGCAAGCTGCTTATCATATATTTGAGTTCTTCTTGTATTGCTTCACAGTGTTGTTCAACTGCTTTATTAAGTTCTTTGGTATCCTCTTTCTTTCTTGCTTGCTGAGCTTTTAAATATATAAACTTCCACCACACCTTTAGCTCTTCATGTCTTTTTTTAGACCACATGCTTTCAGAAAGCTCTTCTATTTCTGTTTCATATAGACTATTTATTCTTGCTATTTTTGCATTTATTGAGTACTTGTCTGTATTGTTGATATGCTAGCCTATTTTTGATAAGTATTATTGATACATGCTTCTGATTATCTTTAAGTCTTTTTTAATATTACTGCTCTCTTTCTTTTTTTCTGCGATAGGTTTTCTATTGCGGACTTCTTTCTAAGAGAGTTGATCTTGTGCACTTGATTATACTTGTTGCGATTATATCCCACAAATTAACTTTGTTAAGTGTTTCTAAGTAAGCTAGATCATACTTGTCTATTGTAATATTTAGCTTCTTCTTGAGTAGACTATCTAGTTTGGTTTTATAATCCTCTCAGTTTTCTTCTATTACTTTATTGAGAAGAAACAACTATCTTTTCTCTTTAAGTCTTTTTTTGCAGGCCAGAGATCTAGCTTTTGTTTTTATGCCTGTTAGCATTTTGTGATTATGATAGCATGGTCACTATTTGTGACTATGTCTGCTTCTAGTATATTGCAATAGGTAAGGCCTTGGCCTAGGTCCTTAGATACCCAAATGTAGTTAATTCTAGACTTTACTTGATCATTTTCTCTTGTAAATTTCTTTTTATAAAGGTGTAATTTTCTGAATGTATCGATCATATTAGAGTTTTTAAACTATTTCAAGAGTAGAAGTTTTTGGGTTCATCTAGAATCTTCTCTGTTTTAATCTAACTCTCTATATTGAATATCATTAAAGTCTCCTAGAATTATAACTTTTGTAGCTTTTCCTTTACTTTAACATTTAAA